TCCATATTTCTCCTTAGTCATTAGTTCAAGGTCCACACAGGTTAATGCACTCAGTGTCATACTTGCATTTGGCCATGTTGTCAAGCTAGTTTGCTGTCTCTGTCAAGTAGCTGTCTGCTGAGCTGTCACTCACGCATGGCAACTCAAAATATAAGCTCTGTGCTGGAAATTTTGTGAGTCACTTGCGGTCCATTCAGAATGGACCCGCGACCCACTACTTTGGAACCACTGACCGAGGGCATCCATTGGTACCAACCATGTTGGCATAGCTTTTCGAAAAGGGGCTAAATAATGCTACAAAGTTAGGCTACATTTTGGCTGAGGGAACAACTGGCATGGACGTTTTCAAATGTGAAGCTTGAACTATCACCACAAGATATCTGAATAAGAGATGGGTTCTGTAGGTACCTACGAGTCTCTCCTAAGTTTGACTTGTTTTGATGTTTTGTTCCTCACAATCAATGCAGTCCTTCAAAGTACAGCTGTATATTGGCCTTTTTGCGATATCTGTGCATGTCCAAAAACCTGTTGTTATCCAAGTCTTTTATAATGTTTCAAAGACCTTCCGACCAGAAGTGTGGGCTTTTCTGTTGGGCATGCATTCCTACACCAGCCCTGCAATCTCTTGGCAAATTGCTTTGTGTGGCGACCTTGAACAAACTAGAGGTCGTGTGTCACAACCTGCAGTAAAACCCCCAACTGAGACCCATATTCCAAATTTGCTGAATGCTTCCCCCAAGAATGCTATTAAAGCCTGAATAATAGCAGCATATCCCACATATCTTAATTGGAAATTGCTACATAACACATTAAAACAGGATTGTTGTGGAACTAAAAATGTTAACCGTACCAGCATTAGTCTGTGCACATCAGACAATTAGTCACACTGACTGTAAAATAGAAACCAAAGTATATGAGGATGTGATCCCTTAACTCTCCATTTTGACAGTTTTAAACTAGCCTATGTACTGTAAAAGCATAAGCGAACTCCTGAAATTCAGTTATGGCTTTTGGTTTTGGTGTGCCACCCATATGAAAAATGTCTGGGGGTGCCACTGGTGCAACGCTTCCAACCCCATAATCTGAGCCGCACTCTGAGGGGACGCTACAGGATTGTTTTCCCACTCTGCTGTTTCTCCAATAAATTCTGTCTTGGACTCCGTTTCAGTGCCTTCTGATGTCAAAATGTGCAGGACTAGAAGATCAAACTAAAACCAGATTAACTCCCCAAAAATTCAAACACCCTGGCTCCCATGATGCTTCCTTTTGGTCCTCATCAAGCACACTGTCGCTGTACATTCAAACAACGAACGACTCCAGCCGTGGATTTTTGTGCTGGGCTGAAGTGTGCGACAGCTTTAAAAAAAAAAAAAAAAAAAAAAGTGCTTCAGAACCAGAGTGCTATCTAAATGAGGCATAATAGATGTGAGAGTGACATAACCATGTTGAAGGGATGTAAGCAGCCTGACAGGAACATTGCTTCTAGCAACTCCTGTGTTGCATTAGTGATGATTTTCCAGGAGGCGCTCACAAAGAGTCTTCAGAGCGCTCTCCTGAGCCCCAGCCAAACCCGGAAAAGCCCCAAAACAACAGGCCATGTGCATGCAGGCGAGCTCTCCCTGACACAGCTTCACACGTTGTTATTCATAACCCACCCTCAACACTGGCCAAATCTATTTCCCCCCCCCCACTTCTAAAAAAAATATAGGTCATTCCGGTTCTAAAAATGGCTGCCTCCCTGGGGCTTGCCAGAGCATGAAATAGACTTTACATCACGTTAGCCAAGCAACAGCAACCAAGAAACTTTCCTTTTTTTTTTGGTCGTTGCTCATTTTTCATCCCCTTTTGTTGCTGTAATCTAACATATGGCGCTTCTCTCACTCTCCCCTCCTCTCTTTCAGTTTATGACCTGAATAAGATATCAGCAGTTTGCCAGGTCTGGAATATGACAGGCGAGGCTAAAGTCATGTAGAGATTTAGATAATATGGTTGCGGAACACTTTACAATGCTTTCCACCTCTGCCTTTCAGACTTCCCCCGTGCTGATAAGCAGGAATTCGGGGGTGGATTTCAAAACGCTTTGGATTTGCAAAGTGCCTGCTGATATGGCAAGGGGTAGTCACATGACAGGCAGCACAATTACTTGCTACCTGTTTATAATGCTACCTATCCCCTCAGCCAGCGGCGGATAAATTACAACAATATCCACTCTTCCTCTTGGTGGCTGCTGCAAAACACAATATGCAAAAAGAAGCAGCTCTCGCCTCCATTGTGGCTTTGACAACTTCGACTGAAATTTATGGAGGCAAACTCACTTGCAGCAGATTGGATAACGCAGGGAGAATTTCTGGTGAAATTTGCTGTAGTTTAGTGTTTACACATATCCAGATGCTCTTCCTCCACAACCATATTGTGTCATTTTAGTTTTTTTTCCCCACCTCCTACATCTCTACGTCCAATGCATAAACTCCCTGGTGGCTGTCCCTTGAAATGGCCTCATGTTTATTTAAACTTAGAGGGGCGGCAGCAGAGCGCCTGGTGCCCCATTCGTTTTCTGTGGTGTTTTCTTATAGCCAGCCAACCCCGGAGCCATTCATCAGCTGGGCTAAGTGTAGCTACAGCGCAGAGGGCTAAACAGCACTTCACCACAATGAGTGTGACATCAACTCTCCACACAAACCAGCGGGTGTGTCAAAGAGAAGCACAATTACAGAGGGATATGGAAGGGAAGAGGTGGAGAAATGACCATGAAGAGAGACGAGGGGGTTGGGTTGGGGGGTGGGGGGGGGAGGAGGCAGAGGGTGTCAGTCATGTAGCTTCTAATTTTGGTTCTGGCTCGAGCACTACTTTGTTCCACCACGGGCTTTTATGCTACGAGCATGAGCTGGCTCAAGACAGACAGAGAGAGACAGAAGAGCTATTGAATTAGCAAAAGACCACACTCCACACACACCAAAAATACCATGCACACACACACACACACACACACACAAAATAATGAGACGGAAAAAAGTTTAAAAGATGGCGGAGAGTATTTTCGCATGTGCTTGAGCACACAAATTCTGTTTGTCTTGTGTTTTTTAGAATTAAAGCTCCCTCCGAATGTTAGGCTTTTAGAATGTAATCTAATTTCCTTGTGAATATTTCACAACGCTGCCACAGTAAACTGTTATAAAAATGATCTCCCCAAATATGGATAAAAGAGAAGGACTCGCATCCTTGCTGAGTGGAGAGCACAACAAAGGGAGCTCGGGCTAGGATCCAAATTAGAGGAGAGATGAAGATATGAAAAGATCAAAACCGAGGAGGAATGAGAAAAAAGGAATAGGAATTGGCAAACACCGACATCCAGCTGTGCCACACTGAATCACATTTTAAAGGCAATATGAACTGAAGCCAAACTCACTGTAACTGGGAGATATTAAAAAAAGAAGACTGAGACAGAATCAAGAAGAGTCCACACAAAGTGTCAGTGTATATCTATATATATATATATATATATATATATATATCTTCATTTATTTTTAATATTTAAACCCACTAAAAGTTGTAAATACAACTTTTGAATGAAAGGCACAGGAAAAATCAGACAATGCTGATATAATACTCAAAAGAAAAATTACAGTACAAAAGTGGACAGTTAGTTACGCACGTACAAATCCCTCCAGGTTCAACGTCCTCCGTACAGGGGGAAACAGAAATGTATCAGACACAACAAATGAAAACCAGAAATCCATTAGCCAAACTTCTCTTTATTGCTTTTCCTAGCTGACAGGGGTCACGCCCGCTCCCCGGGTCTTGCAGAAGGTCAACAAAAGCAACTGCTGTGCTTTCCAGTTTCCCCCGTAGATGGACTGGCTCATATTTACTAGGGATGCACCGAAATGAAAATTTGTGGCCGAAGCCGAATAATATTAAACGCTTGGCCGAGTACCAAATGCCGTTTTTTTAATTAGTTTTCATTAGTTTTTGCAGATGAACCCCCTCCAGATTAGTGTTGTCACAGTACCAAAATTGGGACCCACAGTACGATACCAATGAAAGTATCACGGTCTGAGTAGTATCACGATACCACAGCGAAAATGAGGCAGATGTGCCTTTTGTCATTTATAAAAAGATAAATCACTTTTCTATAATACATCAATGATATTTCAATGGAATAAATTACTTATTGACTTATTCATACTTCAAAAACAGCATCAATAAGTGATTAACATAGGGGGGATTGAAATAAAATAAATAAATGAAATAAAAATCAACCAGCCACCCTCCTCCTCTGACAAGTCCCTTCATAAATAAAGAACAGTCCCAAAGGTGCGGTGAGGTTTGTGGGCCGTTACCTGCCACTGAAAGACTAAAAGAGAGAAATGTGAACTGCTCGTTTCTCCTCTGATACGCCACATACTGTGTGCCGCCATGGCTCAGCTGTTCAGGTAGCCTGCTTTTGGGCAGTCATGACAACAAGTTATTCACCTGGAGCCAGCGGGTAAGCCGTTATCATGCGCCGCCGTATTTGACAGGAATAGCCTACGTATTCTTGTCTGTGTCTGTGACCCCCGTTCAACCCACAACTGGCGGGATTTGCCGTTTCGTTTCTGCTGCTGGGTGAAATCTGTACTCACACAACGTGCTGAATGATTTATTTTGCCTGCACAAAACTATTTTTAGTCGCAAATGCGAGTGCGGTGACGGATGGAGTAAAATATCGCCACACTGCCGACATTTTACTCCGTCCGTCACCGCACGCTGTTTGATTGCATTATCAAAACATGCCGCTATTATTCGGCCTTGCTTTTCACTTATTCCACCGAATACCGAATGTGTGGTTTTTTTTGCAATATTCGGCTGAATATATTCGGTTACCAAATACTCGGTGCATCCCTAATATTTACTTGATTATTGGGCTGCTGACCGTGCTACACAAAACTCCACTGGGCGTTTAGCGTCCGATTCACAACATTGAGACAGATGAAATATGAAACATATGGACCAAAAGAGAGTTTTTTTTTTTTTTTTTTTTTTAAAGAGGTAAGATCTCTCATAATCCATTACCGAATGAGCCTGTATTTGTAATTACGCTTTAAGTCGTTGGTCAGCTGAGTGTAAAATCAACCCAACCTCTAAGTGGTGCCGGGTGTTTAAATATTCAACAGAAATTTCTGGGCTGCAAAATTTAAAAGTGCAGGTCAGAAGCCTGCTTCTGGAGCAAGATGGTAATTTAGGGATATCTTCATTTCCCCTTTTTAACATTTACTTGATAGAGCTTTACTGCGCTCAACACTAGTGGGAGAAGTTTGACAATAGGATTCATTTATCAATTACAGACATTTAAAGAGAATTTGGCACTGGAGGCCACTGCTACACTGTTTTATTGTGTTTTCGAGTCCTCTTAAGGATCACATAATTTCCCTCTTTCATTTAGTTTAGTGGGTTTTTTTCCACGTTGTTGAAGAAAAGCATGCCCAGGCCCATCTGACCATCATTCATCAATGGTATGGGAGGTGAACAATACAGAGGGGGTTCTGTGATATTAAGTATGCCCAATCTTTGGCTCGCACACCTCTGGTTTAGGTTCTTATGGAAAAAAATAAATCAGTATGCAGGCCTGTGCGCTCATATAGGCTTGTGTACACATTGTTTTGGACAGCTCTACTGGGGAACAACTGGAGGGAAAGGTGCCGTCACTCTGTACTGCTCAGGGTTCTTATTATTACATATAGCCTCTTTGGTATAGGCACATCTGCATCAAGGGACCACCACTGTCCAATTACTCCCATTCCTTTTCCTATGTGCAGCTGTCTCACTCTCTCTGTTTCCTATTGAAAATGGGGAAAAAAAACACACTTAGAAAAAAACAACAACAGATGATTGCCACAATCCTGGAACCTGGAAATCAAGTGATTGATTGGAGGAGCAAGAAATTAGACTTATATAGTCGTCAAGGGTTTTCTTTTTCTCCTGCATGAAGACCAAACCCCCAACCCCCTGCCTCTCCTCTCTACCTGCTGTAGCCTGGCCTTCGCTGCTGCCTGACAGCAGGAGATTCATGCTACCTCCGCCTTCCCTGCAGCCATGCTACAGAGAAAAAAGCAATGGCACAGCAAAAATGTAAACGCACCAATGTACTTAAATTCAGCCCTAAATTTAAAAAAAAAAAAAACAGAGATCCTAGGGCAAAATGAAACAGGGTGTTAAGATTTGATGTTATAAAACACAACAGTTCTGATGGACTGAGGAGTGAACAGGAGGATGGATGTGGTCGATGTTGCCGCGCTAGATGCTTAGATGCTCTGGTTTGCGGTTGGGTCCAGCGAAGGATGCGTTTACCAGAGCCCTTTTCTCACCTCCCTCCCCAACGATGGCAGCCCACCCCGGGTGAGGAGAGGCTACCTCTATCCCCTCTCTATCCTGGTTCTAACCAGAATCTCTTAGCGCCACACTCCTCTTTCACACAGGAGCAAAGTCAGGTAAAAGCTAGAGCTTAAACAAATCTGCTTTGAAGTTTTGATTGTTACACTTCCTGATGCAAGACCTCTAACACCTTCCTGCTCCAGTGCACAAAGAAGAAGCGAATGACATCATGTACAAGAACCAGGATCTCGAAGAGTTCGGAGATAAAGAGTACAGGATCCAGTCTGTCAGTGCGTCAGGCTAACGCCGACTCCATTCATTACCTTGCCGTAGCGGAGGAGGAAGCGGCAGCTAGCTGTGTGAGGTATTCACGCAGTTCCTTGGCCGCCTGAAAGCGGCCGTAGCGCTTTTTGGGTTTGGTGCACTCGTCCAACAGTGCCTCGAGTTGTCCATCTTTGGCTATGTGGGCAGGGGGGTCATGGAGGAGGCCTCCGGTGGTGCCCCGCCACGTAGCTTACCGCGACAGCAGGTTCTGGCACACGGCATAGTAGTTGTGGTCCACTGTGACCCTGGAACAAAGGGAGTCCTTGGAGAAAGAAAGGCAGGCCTCTCTGTCGCACTCCTCGAAGCGGCTCTCGTACCACACGTCATAGCTCTCTGGCTTGTCTGCGGGGACACAGAGAGACGGTTAAATGAACACACCGCAGTAAAAACATACTGATCATAAAAAACAGTTAATAATATTAATAGAGTCGTAGGTGCATAACATTCATTTCAAATATATTAAAGCGTTTATTGGGTCATAAGCTTGTTTCTTGCGGCCTTCATCAGGTGAATAAGTAATAAGGTCGGTATATGTTGGTCCTGCAAACAAAAATGTCCTGGTTTTATTACAGTGCAACACCCCTTTATATATTCCTTGGAGTCCCTACCAGCCTGCGGTTTACATTTGATGAGCCTTCACAGAAATTCTTTTCCTTAAATGTGGAGCTATACACGGGAAATTTGAGGCACAACTAATTTTAGATGATTACAACCAACTGCTTGATCGCATGTGATCGCGAGGAAAAACTATTTTTTCAAAGGTTTCTGCAAATTATTAGCTAAGAAATCAACCTGACCAGAAGCCGACAGGACCGTGGTGCCACATTTGACACCCCAGGGGCACTAACAGGAAATTCTTTCTCAAAGCACACAGCCAAACAACTCATCTGCAGTTTCATTTGACAGAAATGAACCACTTTCCAGATTTATTGAGCAAATAAAATTCTTTCTCCAGCTCATTTCACATTGCTTTTTCTCTTTAGAGGATTGTGCTGGGAAAGGAGGGAGCCAAGAAAATAACCTGGAATGATGAGAGAGAACTATTGGTTTGTGCATTAAAAAGCAGATCAATAACAGTGTTGGGAGGGGGGCTGGTGGGGGGGCGGACTCAGAGGATGCAAACACATAATCAGTGTATCAGCGTTGTAATGCACTTCTCTTCTGGCTCATCAGAACAACTCAATCAAACATCCAACGCTGCCCTGTTAGCAAGGGGGCCCCTGCGGCCCCCCTGAGGAGGAGGGGCACATCAACCTCAATCAGAGAGGGTGATGGAGATGGATCCGCCTGCGTATGCTCGCCACGAGCGCGAGCTCACAAACGCATATAAAAGATGTACGCGCGCAAGCAGCAAGGTGAGGTGAAAGCAATTAATGTTTCAGAGCTGGCCATGCATCACACCTCAGCACTGATTGACAGATGGCATCGGGAGAGTGTCCCATTCTTGTTCACTCGCACTGACGGACACACACACACACACATAGACAGACAGACACACACACAAACACACACACAGAGCAGTCAGACAGAGCGGCTGAAAAGAACAAGCAGGGAGGAGAAGGTTCATACTCAAGGACGAAGATGAGCACAGCAAAAAAAGTACTTTGAGACTCAACTAAAGGCTAAAAAGGAGTCTGAGGTCTATTTACTTGCACCCCAATCCCCTCTGTTCCACCCTTACAGCAGGCCTGAGCGTAATAAAGCCAGAACATTTCCAAAGCAAACGAAATCATTTCCAATTCAAATGAGTGGCAGAGCAGTGGACGAGGCAGGCCACCTTTGCCTCTCTCTTCTCCCGCACCTCCCATGTTAAGGAGCTCAGGTCGGACTTGTATACATTCACCTCACTCCTCCGTCTTCCCAGGGCTACACTGAGAAGGGACATTGGGCCTGAAATGCTTGTTAGCGTGGCCTTACTAGTGGCATTCAAGAGTACGAGCTGGTTTTAACAATGCATGCCTGTGTTAGAGTGCATTATTGAATGTGAGAGAGAGGACTGCGTGTGTGTGTGTGAGTGAGTGAGTGAGTGTTTCAAGTGCTGTTGCATTTGTGTGTTTGTGTAAGCCGGGGAGCGATCGTGTTGGGGAGAGAAGAGAATGAGAGTGAGTGAAGTGTGTGTTACATTATACAGCATGTGTTTCCAAAAACCACTGGGGGTGAGACCATCCTCAAACACTATAAACTCAATGATGGGGAATGGCTCCTTTCGCACCACTGGACTGTGCAAACACACGGCACGCGGCACAACTTGAACACGGCATGCGTTTTATCTCACGGCGAAACCCGCCCTGCGTCAATATGGATGCCCCTAACGAGAGGGTGGAACCGCGCGTGAGCTCTCTGCGTGTTTTGATTTGCAAATCAATTGGCCTCAGTTTAGACTGATGAGATTCGCGCCACACACTTTAACTCGCTTTTCAATCTCGGGCTCTAATTGCAGGGATTGGATTCCTTTGCTTGTGGAGCCTTGGGGAGGTTACGGCGGCCTATTTCCTGCTGCTGTCCGACACATGGCCGTGACCTCGTAATTCTCATTACTGCCGTCGTTCCTCTTCTTCATGCTGAGGCCGCGCCACTTGGCACACACACAAACAGATCAGACACACAAACACGCGAGAAGCACGTAAACATTCTTGAGGCTTAAACTCTGAAGGGCCACGGTAAGCAGCTTGAGTTGTCAAGCTCTAAATGTGCCGGCCAGACAAAGAGAGTCTCAACCTGGATTGTGCTGCGGGACTTGCAAAGGGCTACGGTGACAGGGTGGAAAATTGCAGCCATTGGCAATAAGGTGAATATACACACACCAACATAATCGCACAGGAAATCAAGTACAAACTCGAGGGGAAAACTACAGGGCATGTAGGAGTGCTGCGACATGTCACACATCTATATGCGGTTTTCTGGTGTCAGATCTTGTAATTTGGCAAAGCGGCACTTTATCTGAAGATAAATTCATCACAATACTTCCCATCCAACTCAAAAAAAAAAAGCACACACACACTAGTTTCACACACACACACACACACACACACACACACAGACAATAGTTCATATCTGTCACAGGGCACAATGGTGGAACCTCAACACCTAGCGACACAACAGTTTATCACTTTAATAGGATTTCTGCAGGAAGGGATAAATCTAAGAGCCTGACTGGGTGGTCGTCCCTCTCTTTGAAGTAGCCCCAGGAAGGAGGACTGAGGGGTAGCAAACTGCCACACTGAGTGCGTGATGTATAGCTCTCTCTGTCCTTGTTATGAGGTTTATTCTGAGAGGCAAAAAAAAAAAAAAAAAAAAACTAGGGCAGCGGAGATGGCTTGTTATCTGAACTATCTTTGCTTTGATGGGGACGAGTGTGTCGGAGGCACAAGGGGTGCTGAAGGAGTGTATTCTTAGATGAGAGGTGGCTTTGAGAACGTGCAAATTTGCCCACAGCCATCTGTCCCTTGAGACCTTTCCTCGAACCTTCGTCACTGCCTCATGAGCTACAGTTGGTGGTGGTTAAAATTTTGACATGAAGCGCAATGTTCTCTGGGGAGTTCAAGCTGCGGTCAGTGTTTGAATCACACTTTGGCTTTTGAGAAGTCTGTGATAAACAGTCTGAGAAGAGGAACAACCGCTGCATGAGTAGACATGTTATTAATACAGTTAGTTGTTAATTATCACTTTACAGTTTTAGAGAGGCAGCGATGTCACACAAGTAAACAAGAATTACAGCCCTGCGGCTGTGCGCCTCCACCAACCAGTCATGGTGCAGTTTACATCTATGTCTGTCCAGACTCATATGGAGCCATGACAACAGGCAAGGCTTCTTATTAGGGCAGCACCCTGAAAGTCCACTATTCGAATCATCAGTTGGAGACCCCTAAGTTGACTGAGAGTCTTTCAGATTGACCAGTCTTGGGGTTTATTGTCAGTCAGTGTGCTTCTGGGGACGTTTCAGTCCCCAGATGTAGCTGCAGAGTGAGCGCTCTCCACTTTCACGCTGCTCTGCTCTCTGGTACAGGTGGTTGCGGACCCAGACCGAGGGTGTGTCTAAGTGAGACGGAGGCAGCTGCTCGGAGGAGGACAGGCGTATGCTATCTTATGCCTTCTGCAGCAACTTAATACGATAGCATAGTTAGCATGCATTAGCTCGGAGGGCTATCTTGGCTTACGTGAGCGTCGACGTCACCCTAAACGTCACGCCGAAACCTGCTCAAACTCTCAAAATCTATATGGAAAAAAGGAACGACTAGTCGAAAATTTGTACTCAACAACCAAATATGATTCTGCTGACATAATTCTAAGTTGGGTACAACCCTACTGTAAATATGGACGTTGCTGCAAAGAAGCTACATAATCAAAACATATCCACACATCTTCAACCCAGCAGCAAAGAAGATCTATACAATCAGCACAGCTTCAAGTTGGGCACCAAGGATTAGTGTCACCAATTCAGTATCTGATCAAATGTCTCCCCTTCTGTTCTTGAGATATTATGTTGAGTCATGGCCAGAAAAGTGTTTTTGCCGAACATTATGATGTCACAGTGAGGCTGGATATGAAATGTAATCACTTCATTCTATTAGACATTGTCATAATTAGTGTATGAAGTCTTGAGTTACGGCAAAAAACAGGACACAGTGAGGACACAGTGACCCTAGACAACCAAAATCTAATCAGTTCATAGCTGAGTCAAAGTGGACGTTTGTGCCAAAATTGAAAAATATTTGAAAAGGTGCTCTTGAAATAAAGTGTTCATGAGAATGGGATCGACAAACTGAAAACATAATTCCTCTGGCCAAGCAGGCACTGGTGCAAAGGCTTAAAAACCACCAGTGACAGCTCCACAATTTGAGTGACATAGTCTTAAGTGTTTATACTGTCCTTGAATAAGTGGGCAGCATTTATCTTCTTGTGTAGCTCCATAAGTGGTATTGTTTCTATGTATAAGACAAATAGTATTGTCATAGCAACAGGAGAATAAGCTGTACTAAGCATTAGACATATGGACACACACACACAGCACATATGTGTTCAGGTAACAATGGACGCTACCACTCACTCTGCTTGATCAGCCTTTTGTCTGCCACGAGAACATTCTCGGCATCAACGACGATGACCTTTCCGTCACGTGGGCCGACTGCAAAGTTATCGAAGCTGACATCGAGCAGGTAGAGGGCAAACTCAAAGTCATTGTTGGTGAGCTGCTCGGCAATGTCCATGAGCTGGCGCGCCAAGTCTACCCTCTTCTCCCAGGGTGCGTTGTAGAAGCTCCACAGCTCTTCGCCCACGTAGTTGACAGCTACCATGCGCCCACACGCTCCCAGGTACTTGGCGAAGGGCCACCCCTCATCTGACGGAAAGCTCTGGGAAAGAGAAACAGATGAGAACAGAAAACGGTGATTTAAAAACAAATATAAAAGAAGTCGGACCGTGTAATGTGGAGCTGGCTGAAAAAAAAAAAAACAGAAATCCCCCCAACGGCTTTGAAAAGCAAAGGCTAACACATAAATTGCGAGAACCCTCACATTGTCAGAAAATGTTTGTTTAACTTGCACAGAAACTAGGTTCTAAATAAAGAGAGTCAAGAGAAAAAAATCCCAGACATCAAACACAACGCTGCTGTGTGTTGCCTTGGGTAATTTTTGACACATAATTCTAAGCACAATAGTTGAAAATCTGCCAAAGGATCACGTGAAATGCAGCCAGCACTGGGTATAACGGATTAAATTTAATAAAAGAAAAGAGCCAGTTTGTGTTAAAACCCTACAGCTATGAGCGGATGTACGCCGCTATCCTCAGTGCTTCCAGAGAACTGATAGGAGGTGATGTGTGGTAGCAGCAGTTAGCAGGGAAGCCTTATGTGTTGTGATGCAGCAGCGGGGCGATTTAAACTGCTGCATGATGTTGGCTAACCGAGTAAATGCAGTTTGGGCAAGCTGACAAGTAATCGCTGTGTATTACAAGGTTAAAACTGATTAATAATAACAAGGTAATACCGCTAGCAGGAAGTGGTATCACTGCTGCTGCACAAAACCCTAATCTCTCAGATTTACTCCACTTTATTGAGGTCAAACAAAAACAGGCACACATGCACCATCATCTGCAATCACTCAGAGTCAAGTGGCTGCACAGGCAAACACACAGACACAAATATACAGACAACTTAGATTAGTTGGGTGTGAAGCAGCTGCATTTGGCAAACGTGCCAGGCTGCTAAGGGACTGGATTCTGTATGTTGACTGCTGCTGTCTCTTTCTAGGAGCTCGGGAGTCTCACATTTTCAGTATATCACTTTCTCTTCTCCTAGTCCATTTCACTGCCACAGTCTAGGTGGACGAATGAAATCCCCCTTTGTTGCAGCCCACATGAGTTTCGCTACAAGTGATAAGCTCCCATCTTTTACAATAACCCCCCCCCCCCGCCATAGGCCTCTATCTTTTACAATAAACAGCCAGCCATATGCTAGCTTAATGATAGCCCACAATTCCTATGTAACAAATCTCTCCTAGGCTGCTGTTTCTGGCAGGCAGCCGTCGCACAGACAGAGAATCCAGAGTGCTCCTGTTTCACAGGAGTCTCGGCAGCCCTCCCTTTCTGAAACCCAATTGCATCGGAGATAGGGCAGGGGTGACACACCATGTCACTGCAGGTAAGGTGTGAACTACTATGACTGTTGCGTCTCACTTTACACTTGTGGTAATTCAATACTTCACCAGCTTTCAATTTATGCCAAGAGGGGGGATTTTAAATATGCATGGCTGCCCTAACTCCCTTTAAATTTTAATGAAATACAAATTATTTAAAAACATACATTTTAACCCCCCCGCCAGCCACGCAGCTGCTGTATCTCAAAGACAACAGCTGGACCCATGCCACATAGAGACTGTGGCACCGAGGGGGCGAATGTGACAAAGAAACCACAGCTTGGTGAATGGATGGCTATGCAGCGATTTGAAGGTTCACTTGTGCAGCCGTGACTGGAGTTGAGACATTTATATCTCAGACACTCAAACTGTGCTGCTCTTAAGCTCCTTTATCTCATCCTGTGACTTGGCTGTAATTTGCTGAGTGTATCGAAACGTGTATGGATCCTACCTGTGCTATAGCACATGGTACAACGTGCTGAATGCAATTATAAGTGAAGGCTAAGGATGCCTTGCAAGGGGTCCTTGACTGGACAAACTACCTTGGAAAAATCTTAGGGAGGAAAAATCAAGATCTTGATGCAACAGTGACTCATAACTTTTTACAACCTACACTGAAACAGGCAGACTTTTACAATCTGTGGTGTAAATCTATACCATAGGCGTATCTCCTGTTCCTGTCAGTTTTAAGGAAGCTCCACCACCAAGGGGGGGTGGGGAGGACAATGATAAGTTGCATGCATTGCAGTCTTGGTCGAGCCCATTTCCCTGAGGTGACCCAATCAATTGTGGGCCAGACAAAAGTCTGTCCAGGAAGCAGTGCTGGCTTCCAGCAGCCTGTCGGTCTGTCTGTGCTTGTCATCCTTAGACTTGGCAATGAGTCACCCAACTTCCCCAAAAACTCTCGGCTTAATCACCTACCTCTACATTTTCTGATAGAGCAAACTTGACAGGAAGCGGAATCTGAGGAAGTAGACATGTCTCAAAAAAGTGAGAAATTCCAGCAGATACGAGGAAACAAAAGGATACTGGTGGGCTGACAGCACTCCCAAATACTGACTGGAAAGAAGACAATCCCAGACTACTGAGATGTTGCCTGCCAATGGGCATTCCTACATAAGAGATTTTAGGATTAGAGACTTAACGGGCTAAATATCTAAAATGGCTTTCTAATTTCTGAAGTTGGTATAGAAAGATTAGGTTGGAGCTGGATCAGTTGATGGTACATCCCTATTAGTGCCGCTTCCCTTTGACCCAGATTCAAACCTCAGATCGCTTTATGTTGCTGCAAATCTAAGCGGCTCTTGGTCTTGTTGACAAAACTTAGCCTGTCCAATGTTACGGCTAAACCTGCTTTGTAAAACACCATCCTCACTCTCTCGCCCCTGCAGGGCGGATGGATAAATGTGGGGAAGGGTTAGTGGTGGTGGTGGTGAGGGTGGGAGGGGAGACAGGGAGCAAAAGAGAGAGAATACGATGGAGACGGCAAACAGAAGAGACAAACAGAGTGTCTTTCACTTCTCCGCTCCAGTGGACAGGAGGAATAAACCAGCAAAGACCTGCCTGCTAAACACATCTCTCTCTTTGTTGTCAGGTTGCAGCCTGAATGGGAGCAAAAGTAGAGTGGCGGCAGATGGGGGGGAGGCTGATGGGAAGGAGGAGAAGGATGAATGCCCTAAGGCTACTTTCAGACACTGTCAACGGCTGTTATGAGAACGCCTTCATGTCTGTTCGGCCCTCGTCCGCAGGTCTTAACATAGATGTCGTTCATTCATGCCTCTGACAGGCTCATTGCGCTGCGTCAATTACAAGAGTCTTGACAACTCATACCCATTTTTATGAGCTTCCTATATTTAAGTTTCATGTGCAATAAGTCTTAAGGTGAGAGCTACTGAGCGGTGTAGGCAGGCACATGGAAGTGGGCACCTGAGCTTTGGATCCAAACTTTGCCTATTGCAGAGCTTGATAAATACTCCACGTGTCCTACCAATCATTCTCCCTTAGCGCTCTTTAAACGGTTACTCTGCAGAAGTCATTAACGTCCGCAATGAGGCGTTGAGGGGGGGGTGGGGGGATGGACGAAATAAATTGGAAAGCCCAGCCTAATGCTACATCCACTGCACTATCTCTGAGCAGAATTGGGAGGTACTGTATGTGCTTGCGCTTGCATGTGTGGGGACTGCACAGGTAGTGAATTTTACCAGTCGTCTCTCGATGATGTTATGCTATTGAGAAATGCTGAGGGTGCAAAACTGCCAATGTCACATCTCAGCTACTTTTACTGCTTTAAAAAGGTCTTATCACTTCTTGTTCCTGTCATTGAATAAAAAACCTTTTATCTCCTGCTTAGCAAAACCTTTAACTCATAGAACCTGGCGCCAAATGCTCCTCTTATTTCCCGTACACATTTTTTGCTTGAATTTCTTGCAGTGTTAGAGAAATAATGAGCCCGACTCTGGAGACAATGAAAGCGAGGGTGGAAAACAGACTGAAACAGAGTCGTCTCATTACAGGCGACCTCACACTGACTTCTAGGCCCAAGTCTGACTAATCTAATCTTAAAGGTTGTGTTGGTGCGCTACAGTAGCATTGACTGGGGGGTGTTTGTGCTTTCCACTCCCCTCCCTGTAATACAACAGGCACACTGGCATCCTCTTGGGGGGAGATTGGAGTGGGCTGAAATGAAACAGGGCCACAGACAAATGGGCAGCCTCTGGAGAAGAGGATGAAACGAATGGAGCGAGAGGCACAGGAACACACACCTGCGTCCTGACATCTGCTGACAAAGGCATGCCCTTCTACTGGGCCACTCGGGGGAGGGCGTTGGCGTGTGTGTGTGTATTTGTGTGTGTGAGAGAGAGTCCGAAAAGAGGCTCTTTGTGCGTGCGTGTATGTGTGTGTGTGTCTATGTGAAACTGTATCCGAGTGCATGTGAATGAGAACATGCAACGTGACCAGGGCTGATAACAACCTCTATTCAGGGGCCGAGTAAACATGAGCGGCTCCCAAGATATTGCCTTGGCTGGTCTGCAAAGAACACTGGTCCATCAAACACACATATACATACACACAAACGGTGGACACACAGAGCGGCATTTATAAATGCAAGATTTGAAGGAACAAGTTGCCTTCATCTTGCAACCACAACTACTTACAGCAAAAAAGGAAATTAGTAGTTTGCCACAGAAGTGTTTCATGTGTGCAGCTTGTTAAAGCCCTGAGCAGGGTGTGGTGTAAATTCTCTACATTTTCTGTCCTCAGCAAAATCCCAGCGCTTCACAGCAAACAAGTTAGGACAGGACTCTTGAAGAGTCCGGGGATCAAACGGTAAAGTTGAGGAAGTGGGGCGGGCAGACGCAGCCAGTGAGACACAACAACAGCATTAAAAAAAAAAAAAAACCTTTTCAACCCTGATGTTGCAAAATGAACATTATTCAGCCTGTTTATCAAAGGGGCTTAGCGTTAAGAAGAAGTCACATCTGCTTTGCAAGGCTCGGGCTGCCAAGCCAGACTTGAAACGTCGCTTTTCTGTGCAGCTCTCCTGTTGACCTTGTGTGTCTGGAGGATGTGTGGCGAGCCCCGTCTGGCATTTTGCTGGCCATTTAAGTTTAAAATCCAGTTGGTTAGTTCGCAGCAAGAGCTCGGGCCCCACAGGGGAGCCGGCGCTAACTCCTCATCCTGGCACACATGGCGCTATCCCTTTCTTCTCTTTTGCTCTC